GTTTAGGGGTTTAGGGTTAGGGTTTCTGAGTGTCGGAAGAGGATTTCTATGGGGGTATTTGTATCAGTATGTTACAGTTGAATTATAGTTACCAGAGCCGTGTTCTGTAGGGGTTTAGGGTTTAGTTTACGACAGATTTGATCTTGAGTTCTGCCCCTGGTTGCTCTGCTGCTGCTGCTGCTGCTGCCTCTTCCGCCGGTGCTGCTGCTGGTTGGTGCTGTTGCTTCTAGACTGATGACCTTTTACGTGTTTTCGTGGTGTTGATAGTATGTCGGTGTACTGCTGATGTTGCGTATCGACCCGATTTGTAGAGCCGGTGCAAGGATGATGATTGTTGTTTGTGGTCTTCCTACTTTTCGTCTCATCAGTACTCGGAGCGTTTGAGGCTTCTTGCTAGACACTATCCTTCCGGTCGATGTTCTAGTGTAGATGACCGCGAGGGTCCTGAACTGTGAGCCCCAAAACCTCAGGGCACTCTAAACCATCGTTCCCCTAAGCTCTAAACCCTGGCCGCCTTGTAGGTTTTTTTTGGGATTTGGAGCTCTGTTTAATCTTAGGGGACGGTAGGGAGCCTAAGTTCTAGTGGGTAGGTTTTCGTTTTTTTGCTTTGAGGGTTTCCATTCTATCCTAGGGCCTTACACACACGCTCTGTAGCAGAGTTTGCGTACCTAGTAATCATATCCCCGTATCGTCCCTATATACAAACATAGACATATCGTACAACTTACACCAAGACCCCGCTGTAACTTTCATGGCCCCTGTAGAAGTAGTTCTGTCGGACCTCGGGTGGTTTTGGGGCTTTAGAGCTTCAGGATTTCGAGCTCTTTTTCTTTTGGGATAGGGTCTTCATGAATCGAGGCTTTTCAGGTTTCAATCTTTTCGGATAGTTTTTTTTATGAATCGAGGTTTTTTTGGGTTTCAGGGCTCTTTTCGGGTAGGGCTTTTCAGGATTTGGGTTCCAGGGATCGTTTCGGATGGGGTTTTCATGATTTCGGGCCTTTTGGGTTTCAGCGTCTCGGGATCTTGGCGGTAAGGGTTTGGGTTTTCGGCCCCTGTAGAGCCGATGGAAGCTCCCTCTCTCCCCCCGATTGCTGCAGCCCGCCGTGGAAGAGCCCATCGTAGTGACGCCGCACGGCGACAAGAAGGACCCTCGCCATAAATCCTAAACCCACCCTGAACCCCTTAAACCCTAAACCCAACAGAGGTCCTACACCCTAAACCCTAAACAAGAGACCCTAAGCCCCAAAAAGGCTGAGGGTGAACCCTATCCCCTATTTTAGGGTGGAAGGAAAGAACCACTTCATGATCTCAGCAGTTGTTTGCACACCCCAAGCCAAAGTAAACGGTTAAGGTTTAGGGTTTAGGGTTTAGGGTTTAGGGTTTAGGGTTTAGGGTTTAGGGTTTAGGGTAAACCAAACACCCCGAAGCTCCAACTTCCCAAGCCGCAAACTTTCTAGTCCTCGAGCCCTTGAAGATGAAAGGTACTAAGAGAGCCCATTACCTCATCATTTCAGGAATACATAGGAGACCTCAAGAGTAAGCTTCTTAACATTTTCAGGTCTATTTTCGAATTTAAGGGTAATGAGCTCTCTGAATATGCTTGACAAGACTTATCTGCAGAATCCCTCAACCCTAAACCCTAAAACCCTAAACCCTAAACCCTAAACCCTAAACCCTAAACCCTAAACCCTAAACCCTAAACCCAGAATCCAGTTCCCTATGCCTTACCTGGGCTGCCTCTCTGCATGCCTTCCTCTTCGGGTTTGGAGGCTTGGGCCTCTTGGCTCCGTAGCTGATTCAAGAGCTTTGAGCCCTTTTGGACGTTTAGGGTTTAGGGTTTAGGGTTTAGGGTTTATGGTATAATATGACTCATACAGCCTTACATACCATAATCAGGCCGTCAACCTGTTCTGGGCCGGGAAACCCTAAACCCTACACCCTGCGAGCCCTCAAAAGGAAGCGGTATAGAAGCCTAAAGCCACTTCTTATGGTATCCTGATAGGAACCCTTATCCCTTTCAAGGAACCCCCATAGAACCCTCCTAAACCCTAAACCCGCCCAGGGCTTGAAACGCCGGCCTGCTTCTAAGCAAAGCCACAGCACCCCAAAGCCGGGCCCAGGATTTAGGGTTTCGTGTTTAGGGTTCAGGGTTTAGGGTTCAGGGTTTAGGTTTTAGGGTTTAGGTTTTTGGGTCTAGGGTTTGGGGTTCAGGGTTGAAAGTTTAGGGTTAGGGTTTGGCCAATTAGGTAAAACTGCAGGTCTATTTTTGAATAAGGCATCCCTTGAGTTAAGCAATAAACTATTGGGCTCACTGGTTGCCCAACCCAAACGCCTATATATGGAGGTCTGAGTATTCAGTGATAATGTCCCTTGATAGTCCATGTACATGTCTGCTTGAGTATGCCGCAAACACCGATTCTGGTGATGAAGGACCCTGTGTGGCTTTGACCTGAAACAAAATACCTTGGGCTGTGAGCTTTCAACCCGAAGGTGCATATGGGTAGCTCTCTAAACTTGGGTCCCTTTCAGGTTCCTTTTTATAAGGAAACCGGAAAAGGGACCCTAATTTAGAGAACTACCCATATACCGAACCCACAGCCACTGAACCCCAGGCCCAAGCCCTAAAAGCCCAGGAACCTAAACCCTAAACCCTAAACCCTAAACCCTAAACCCTAAACCCTAAACCCTAAACCCTAAACTCCCCAGGCTTTAGGCTACAAACCCCTGAAACCTAGAAGCCCCCTCTTGGAAGGACATGAGCCTGCCGATGGCAGCAGCCTACAACCCAAAAGCCGTGGAGTCCGCTTGGAGTGCTCAGAACATGCAAACAAAACTGGGTTCTTGTTAAGGGATTTAATTTAAGTTACCATAATAAGGAAACCATATTATTTACTATAGATCCCTATCATGGTAACTTAAGTTAAATCCCTTAACAAGAACCCAGAAAAGTGTTGAAAGGTTTTTAGGATTTAGGGTTCAAGATTGTTGAAGATGAAGGCTTCAGGGGTTCTTACTCGCAGGTTCCTGAGCAGTCCATCATGGTAGGCTCTCAAAAACCGAGGCAGTAGACTTCTCTGAAAAGACTTGCTTTGCCTGTTTCTAAAACCCCAAAACCTAAACCCCAAGCCCTAAGCCCTAAACCCTAAGCCCCAAACCCTAAACCCTGAGCCCTGAACTTCAATCTCCCGTACGTCACTTGATAGGTCAGCGCAAGGTGTTACAAGATGTTTTGCAGGTTTATGGTTGTTTGATCAAGGTTTCGAGAATTTGTTGGATGAGGGTTCCTCTGAGTTTTGGGGAAGGGTCTGGTTTAAGGATCTGCATTGTAAACCTAAACCCCAAACCCTAAACCCTGTAAGCGGATTTGTAAGAGCTAGGCTTCAGATTGTCGTCAATTGGGGCTTCAGAAAGTCAGGTTTCAATGAGCCTCTTCAGCACTCAGAAAAATGCAGGAAGCCTCATCAGCACTCAGAAAAAATGCAGGGATAAGGCTTGTTAAAGACGCTTCGGGGTTACCTACAAGGGGCTGTGATGAGGGTGAATATAAAGGTTACTATGAGTGCTACTATCAGGGTTACGTATTTTGGGACGGGGGTTTGCGGTGTGGGGCCGGCTGTTTTGCCGAACTTCGGCTTCTATGTGCTTTCGGAGCTCAACCCCGCTGCATAGAAATCTGCAAAGATTTTAATGTTTTAGGGTTCAGGGCTTATCTTGCCCAGAGGATGCTAGTACGTCTTTTCTAGGCTCCAGTGTGGTGGACTCTAAAGGGTCCAAGTGAGCCCTCACGCAGCGAGCCCCGAAACCCAAAGCCCTGGACCCATACAGTCCCGTGTGAGAATACTAGTACAGGGGCTTGGATGATTAGTAAACGCTTCTGTAAAGTGATACTACAAAACGCATCAACACCTCACTGTAACTAAGGCTCCTACATTCAGCCTTAGAAAGAAACCCTTCAACTATTCTAGTACTGCCCAGGTGCCTGGTGGGAGAAGAGGCATTTCTTCACTCCTGATCCCAAGGCGTCTCTGTGGGTTGAGGGTTCAGGTTTCAGGGTTTAGGGCTTAGGGATCTCAAATTATTGAAACTCCGAGAGCGTTGAACATGGGGGCAGAGTTAGGGTTTAGGGTTTAGGGTTTAGGGTTTAGGGTTTAGGGTTTAGGGTTTAGGGTTTAGGTTCACTGTTTATTGTTTGTTTAGGGCCCCAAGTCATTCTATACTACACCTTACTGCAGCCTTAAGGTTTCCCTCCCCACCTCCAAATCGTAAATCCTGAAGTTCCAAACTTATAAGCCTCCAAGTTCCCAAAACCCTAAACCCTAAACCCTAAACCCTAAACCCTAAACCCTAAACCCTAACCGCTAACCCAATAGACGAAATCCTCTCCCTCCTTCGCCTCCATACGGCCGATTCTCTGAACACGAAACCCGAAACCCCACAGCCTAAAGCTTAAACCCCTCAACCCTGAACCCCTAAACGCTAAACCCCTACACTCCCTAAACCCTAAACTGAACCCCTAAATCCAGAACCCCCAAACCCCCCAAACCCCTAAACCCTAAACCCTAAACCCTAAACCCCAAACCCCCAAAACCCCCGAAACTCCCTAGACTCCCTAAACCCCCAAACCCTGAACCCCCAAGCCCCTTGTAACCCCTAAACGCGCTAAACCCCTAAACCCTAAATTTGTAAACCCCTAAACCCTAAATTTGTAAACCCCCAAACCCTAAACTCCATAAACTGCCTAAGCCCCTAATCCCCTAAACCCGTAAACCGAAGGCCAGCCAGGGAGCCTGCGAGTCCAAGCGCTTCATCATGGTGATCCCACCTCCGTGCCTTTTTAGGGTTTAGAGTTCAGGGATTATGGTTTAGGGTCTTGGGTTTCGGGATTAGGGTTTAGAGTTTGGGGCTTTGGGGTTTGGGGATTAGGGTGCAGGGGTTTTGATTTGGGCCTTCAGGAGGGGGCCCAAGCAAGCGAGACGGACCTCCTACTCCGAAAGGCCTTAAACCCTACAGGCTCTCCCTCCAAACCTTCTAATCCCAAAGCATAAACCTCAAAATCCTCAAACCTTAAGCCCCATACCCTAAACCTCAAACCCTAAACCCTGATATTTGAGGCCCCCTTCCGAAACCGAATCCTCGAAGCCTCAGCCCCTGAGCCCCCAAAAAGCCGAGGAATGTGACTGGGAAGCTCCACCTGGGACACACGCTGCTCCTTGGGCCGGATTGGGCTTAGGGTTTAGGGTTTAGGGTTTAGGGTTTAGGGTGGCTCTACTTGGAGGATCATGAGACTTAGTAAGTGAGGTTATAAGTCCCCTAATTGGGATTATAAGTATAGTTACCTTAGTTATCACCCTGCTAACTAAATCCCATGATCCTTTAAAGTAGGGGTTCAGGGCGTTACGGCTTTGGGGTTTGAGGGTTTAGGCGTTCGGGCGCAAGGGGTTTCGGGCTTTAGGTTTTTAGGGTGTAGAAGGGTTCCTTTCACCTTCAGAAGTAGAATAAGTTTCCATCAAAAGTTTTTGAGACCCTAAACCCTAAACCCTAAACCCTAAACCCTAAACCGGGTATTGAAGGGTTGCTCAAGCGTTTCCTTGACCTTCACCTCGAAACAGTTTTTTTGTTTTAAAGGGTTTCTTCAGGGGTGGTCTGTAAAGGCTTCCTTGACAGGACGATAAGGATCTTGGTTTTTTATGTGTGGTGTATTGGTTCTTTCAGGGTTTAGGGCTTCTGGGCGTTGGGTTTGGGATTTCGGGCTTAGGAGATATTTGGGGTCTTGGGAACAGATATTTAGGGTGTGCGGCTTCAGGTCTTATGGCTTGCGGTTTAGGATCCATTGATTATGACTTTAGGAGCTAGCGCTTCTAGAGTTGCTTGCGCTTTAGGGGGAGGGCTTGGTGTTGAGCTTTCACGGGATTTGGGGTTGCGGGTTTAGGGCCTGGAGCTTGGGATTTAGGGATTCGGCTTTAGGGTGTAGGGCGTAGGTTGTACGGAATGGGCTATTAAGCGTTTCCCAGTCGAGTATGCCATCAACTTAGGGCAGTGGTAGAAGGTACATCCCTGAATTCAGAGTTTTGCAGTCTTTGAGTTTAGGAAATTAAAAGTAGGAGCGAGATGCCAAAAATGCTACCCACCGACGTCCCGACAGTTCTCTAAGCCGGTGTCCTCCTTGCTTTAAGAACTGGTCGTCATATGCCCTCGTATCCAACTCTAAACCTTAAGCCGTGTAGTATCGCTTATAGACCATGCATGGCTTTGTCCAGGACTGGTGCCATTGAGGATGCCCTGACCCGGTGGCACCGGATGTGCGGCAATGTGGCCGCAGCCTGTGTTGAGGATCTGCTTGCCGAATAATATAGGGGCCTTAGCATGTGGAATAGGGTTTTGGGGCCCTTTACAGTATAATTATAATAAAGAACCCCCCAAAAAAGTATAGGTAATTATTTAGGGCCCTACATTACAGATCATTCAGGTAAGGACCAGTAAAAAGGTCACTAAAACCCTCAGACCTGAACCCTAAACCCTAAGCCTCAAAACCCTTAAGCCCTCAACCCAAGAAACGCCATAAGCCCTGAGCCCTAAACTAAGCCCCAAACTTCTCAGCCCTAAACCCTAAACCCTGAAACCTCGACTTCCTTGAACATGTGTCGGGCTTAGGGCCCCGGCCGTTCGTCTTCCGAGACTGGACTCTGAAGTCATAGGAACAACGAAGAACGAAAAACAGCTTTGGCGAGCCCTTGATGGGAGCTCTTCATTTCTCCATCCTCAGATTCATTATGAAAAAAGAGCGGCCCTTTAACGAACCTCACACCCCGAAACCGTTTTAGCCCCTTTTGACCCTAAACCCTAAACCCTAAACGCTAAACCCTAAACCCTAAACCCTAAAACCTATACCCTAAACCCTATACCCTAAACCCTAAAGCCAGCCAGGTCGCCCTCTATGTGCCCGGCGTGGACCACGCCGGCATCGCCACGCAGAGCGTGGTGGAACGGCGGCTTCTCAAGGAGGCGCTGCCGCTTTTGTTGGGCTTCAAAGGGCTTTCAGAGTTTAGGGTTTTGGGTTTAGGGTTTATGGTCTATAGGGTTTTGTAGGGTGTTTAGAGTTCAGGGTGTCGGGTTGAGGTGTTTTGGCTTTTGATGTGGGAATGCTGGTCTTTGGTGTGCTAAAGGGGAAAGTTTAGGACTTCATAGCGGCTTGATGGGAGGGGAGGGTTAGCAGGAGGATTTTGTACATGCGGTTGGGTGTTTGGGGCCATGTGTTGAGCTTCAAGGTGGGCACGGGTTCTGGGGTGTGGGGCTTTCGTGCTTTGGAGTTGTCGGGTTTAAGCCTTTGGCTCTCTGAAAAAGGACCTTATCGAGAGGGAGAGGGTCTATATCCCCAAGGGTCCCCCTTATCCTAACTCCTGGAGAGTATTGGTGTGGTGTTGAGGGTTCAAGTACGCTTCCCCCACCGGGTTAACCCCAAGCGTTAAGCCCAACCCTAAACCCTAAACCCCTATAAACCCTAAGCCCCTATAAGCCCTAAACCCTAAACCCCTATAAACCCTAACCCTCATAAGCCCGAAACCCTAAACCCCTATAAACCCTAAAAATTGTATGAGCCCTAAACCCTAAATCCCCTATAAACCCTAAACCCTAAACCCTAAACCCCCTGAACCCCCCTAACGTTTCAACCGAACCAAACCCCGAGCCTGAGCCCTTGACCAGGTAGTACTATTAGGGGTACCCCTTCTGAACCCTACTTTTGGCTCTCTTAAAAGGGACCTTGTTGAGAGGGTCTATATCCCCAAGGGTCCCCCTAATCCTAGCTCCCATTGACCACCTTTCGCTGAGGAGAAGAAGACCCGGCACGACCTCGGTCGCGAAGAGTTCCTCAAACGCGTGCCCTGCTTCCACTTGGACAGTCACCCTTAGAGCATCCCATTGGGGTTATAAGTCACAAGTTATAAGTGGATATCATCAGAGGTTGTCTTTCTCCCCCAAATTTCAAGCGGGAGGCCTTCCCAATACAGACCACGAAGCCAGCTGTTGCCTGAAACAAGGAGTTTAGGGTTTAGGGTTTAGGGTTTAGGGGCTGTTAGCTCTGATTGCTCTTGCTCCTGCTCCTGTTCTTGTTCCTGCTCTTGCTCCTGCTCGTGCTCTTGCCCCTGGGTCCTCCTAAACCAAACGATCTTTAAAGCCGAGGACGCCTGCGCCTGGATTTTGGTGTTATCAAGTGTTATTGTTATTGAGGGAGTGTTTATCAAATTTATGGGGGGAGCTGATTATCTTACTTGGAATCCAATTTACTAAGTCCCTGATCCTTCAAGTGTAGTTGCCTTCACAGTCATACATAGTAGCTCGCATAGTAATGTCATAGTAACCTTATAGCGGCCTTATAAAACCCCGATAGTAACCCCAGGGATTGTCCTCTGTGCATGTGGCTCCACAGCTTTCTGGCATATTGGTTTTCTGATTTGTGACATGAAGACCTTCTGACAATACCCTAAACCGACCCGAACCGCCCCAAAAATTGCATTCTACGAAAGGGTTCTGGCACGCAGGGCTTCCTAGGGCCCCTGACGTCGAAGCTTAACGTACTAGGGTCCAGGGACCTGTGCCGGAACAGAGGGCCGCTAGACCCTGTACAGTCCCCATACCCAAGACCCAAAGCCCCATATCTAAAACTTGAACTATGGAATCAACTACCGCCACAGCTGACCATAAACCAGAGAGAGCAATATTACGACTATGGAGCTCACTTGACATTGTCATACACCCTACAGCCTAAGCCCTGTTTTCGAAGGTGTGGGCTTGGAAGGAGATGAACGCAGGGCACATCAAGAAACAGCTGCAGAGAATCGCTTCGTCAGTGGACTGGACCCGAGAGAGGCAGCTCTGCTGCGTTTGGGGGTTTGTAGCGTTATGGGGCGTTTAGAGTCTCGAAAAATAGCCCCAAGCACCCTAAACCCTAAACCCTAAACCCTAAACCCTAAACCCTAAACCCTAAACCCTAAACCCTAAACCGCGGGGTTTCAGGTCCTTTGGGTTGAGGGCTCTAGGCTGAGGGACTTCGGATGTCGGTCCTTCGACTATTTTGAATGGCTGAAAGGTTGCACGTGTACCTAAACCCTATAAACCCCTAAACCCCTAACCCCTAAACCCTAAACCCTAAACCCTAAACCCTAAACCCTAAACCCTAAACCCTAAACCCTAAACCCTAAACCCTATAAACCTTAAGCCCTAAGCCCTAAACGTTTTCGGGAGCGTTCGGATGTAGGGTTGCCACTTTTTTGGTTCTGGAACTTTGGGGTTCAAGCCTTACCCAGCCTTACTCATGAACGGCTTAGTCTCCGGATTAAGGTGTAGGTTCTATATACTTAGGTGGTCGGTTGCTCTACAGCATGTTGGAGGTTTTGCAGTTGGTGTTGCATGAGGTAGGGTTTTTTGGGCTAGTCTATGAGTTTGTAAAGGATCCTTCGGGTGTTCTTCTTAGGATAGCAGGAATCTTGGGTGAGTGTACAGAGGGATCCTCCGGATCAGGAAACATGGGTGAGTGTATGCTTCGGATGCTAGGAATGTAACCCTTTCCAAGCCCCTGTCATGCCCTATGAACCCTATAAGCGCCCCAACCCTAAACCCTAAACCCTAAACCCTAAACCCTAAACCCTAAGCCCCATAAAAATCTTTCTAAAACCCGGCACAAACTTGATAACGCCGGAAAAAACGCTCGGAGCCTCAGTGGCTCGAAAGGCTGGTCCTTCACCATCCCCGTCTCATAGGAGCTTTGGTGCAAAGGGTTTAGGGCTTGGGGTCGAGGGTTTAGGCTTAGGGTTCTTTGGGGTTCCGGGAGTTTTGATGCTTTTTGGCAGTCTTCGGGGCCCAGAATCTAAGCACCAAAACTTGAGTGGTAGTACGCCCGTAATTCTTTGACTGCTTCCGGCCCGAGACCCAAAACCCTACGGGACATTGCGCCTTTGTGGGAAAGCCTTCCAGGTTCACAATGGACGACCGGTGCGCCCGCGCAGTGGAAGAGGCCTTCGTCCGCATCATTCCACATCCCTATAATGTCCCTAAAGCCTAAGCCCCTGAACCTAAAACCATAAGCCCTAAAGACCCTAAACCCGAAAGCCATAAACCCCGAACCCTAAACCCTAAACCCTAAACCCTAAACCCTAAACCCTAAACCCTAAATCCGAAACCCGCAGCCCAAGAGCCCTAAGTGGCAGAGGCCTTTATCCGCTTCCATGAGCGGGGGCTCATCTACCGGGACAACCGACTCGCCCCTCGGCATAGCTAGGAACATACTACAGGAACATTAGGGTTTAGGGTTTAGGGTTTAGGGTTTAGGGTTTAGGGTTTAGGGTTTAGGGTTTAGGGTTTAGGGTTTAGGGTTTCTCCCCCAAACAATCCTGTTACTAATGCAGGGGCCTAAATAATTACCTATATTTGTTTTGGGGGTTCCTGATTCTAACCATACGATAAAAGGCCCCAAAACCCTATTCTAATTATCAAGGCCCCTACATGAATTCTTCAAGCCGCTGCCATGAAGCCTACGTACTTAAAGGATCATGGGACTTAGTAAGTAAGGTTATAACTAAGGTAACTATACTTATAACCCCAATTAGGGGACTGATAACCTTACTTACTAAGTCCCATGATCCTCCAAGTAGGGATAGACGTACCTGAACTGGTGGGTCTAAGCCTGGCCCAAATCGTGTGCACTGAGGCAACGTCTCCAACCTGTCAGCCCCAAGCCCCAAGCACCCTAAACCCTAAACCCTAAACCCTAAACCCTAAACCCTAAACCCTAAAGCCCCGAAATGATCCTTCTGGCAGAGTTTCGGGCTTTGCAGGGTGTTCAGGGTTCTACAGGGTTTGTAAACAGTTGTATACGGGGTTTTAAACCCTAAACCCTAAACCCTAAACCCTAAACCCTAAACCCTGAGCCCTAAAGAATCATGCGGATTTTCATAGGGGACCTCTGTCCTACATGAGAGCTGTTAGGCCCTAAAGCCTGTTTCCGAGAGCAACTACACCCTACAGACCCAGAGTTTAGGGTTTAGGGTTTAGGGTTTAGGGTTTAGGGTTTAGGGTTAAAAGCCCAAGAACCGAAAACCACGAAAAAGAAGTCAAAGCCCTAAGCCCAAGAACAAATGCGTTAACAGAAACCTAAATCTCATGCCCACTTCTCCTTACGAAAAGGCATTCCTGAGCACGCATTTAGCAATCCAGAGAAGCCTTTTCAGAGAGCCCGATGTCCAATAATTTCAATATATGCCATAGCCTTAGATCATATCATATTCAGTATCGCAAAATACGTACGGGATGTTCCTGATTTCTCAGACCTTGATCTTGCAACCCTCACCAGAACCTCTGTCAAGCGTTGTTGAATCAATATGAAACCCTGATGCTGCCGGTATAACATCCGTGCACAGCCCGCATGAAAGGCCCTGGTTTTGCCACGAGCCTTGAGGCACACCCTAAACCTCTACACAAACCCTAAGCACTAAAGCCCTAAACCCTTAAAAAACCCCAAGCCCTAAATCATAAACCCTAACCTTAACCCATATTTATAACACCTTACTAAACCAATGCTGAGCATTAAGGTGAACTGGTGCCCCCACCTCCGGACGGCCCTCTCGGATCTCGAAGTGGATCACGAAGACATCACGGGCACCTCGGAGGGAACCGCTAGCCCCAAACCCTAAACCCTAAACCTTTAAACCTTAGACTTGTAGGGTTGAGGGTTTAGGGTTTAGGGTTTAGGGTTTAGGGTTTATAACCTCAACAAGATCATCCTAGAGCCCTAGAGCCCCAGCCCCAGCTGAACGAGGCCACTTGTCTTTGAAGAGCCCGCGCATATCGGAGCCCTCACTGTAAGCCTGGTAGTAACCCATACAGCAGCCCTAAACCCTGAACCCTAAACCCTAAACCCTAAACCCTAAGCCTTAAACCCTAAACCCTAAACCCGAAGCCGTAAACCCTAAACCCCAAACCCGAAGCCCTAAACCCTAAACCCTAAGCACAAGGCAAGGCTGCTCAGGGGTTTTGTCCTTGGGCTCAGGGCCTCGGGTTCACAAACATGGGTGGTGAGTTGCTGACGGATGCTTGCAAGGCACTTCTTTCTTTCGAACGCTTGTCTAACTGGTTCTAGAGGGTTTTGGGATAGATTGCGCAGGATTTTTCGGCAGGTTCTTGCTCTCCAGGTGTGTGAAGGTCGATGCTGCAGGACCTTATAGTGTGGTCTTTTGGTTCAGCCCTGAACCTGACACACTTTCATGGGGCAAGTGCACTGCAACCTTCGACCCACAGCCCACCCTAAACCCTCCACCCACAACATCCCGAAAGCCAAGCCCTCAATGCTGAGCCCTCAACCCGAAACCCTCAAAGCTCAACCCCAAAGACTGAGCAGTGCGAGCCCTTGCGCTGAAGCCTGGTATCCTACATCCAAAAGCCGGCACCGTAAATCCCGAGAGCGCCGCTGACCATTTGAATGGGCGCTCGAGGCTCCGAGCGAGGCCCCCGGCCGAGCGTCTCGTCGTCAGAATGGTGAGGGAGGGTAAAGCCTCCCGGTATACGGGGACGGAAATGACTCAGCTACGCCTCACGCACTACGGGCGTCAGCCCGGTATAAGCATAGGATGTTTTTTTGGGTGTGGCGTCGGGCGGAGCACCCCAACTTCTCAAAATGAGATTTCTGGGTCGCTTTTTCAGAAGGTCGCCCGCTCGAACCGGGCAGGAGCCCCAGTCCCTGGAATCTGCCAGCCTGGGCCAGACCCACTTTGGGGGTACCCCCAAACTCCCAGAAGAGCGGCGACCTCGAAAGTTACTCTTTTTTAAGAAATTGGGCATCCACGTGCATGCTTTTTCGAGGAAATTCCCTCGGACAGACCCTCCTGAGGGTACCCCCTGTAAACTTCGAGCAACCCTGGGCAAATTGTTATTGGGATCTCGTTGAGCGTCCGGCACAGGCCGCCAGAACCCACAACCCCACACTAATCCATCTCAGCAGTGGTTTGCTGTGAAACACACATGTTCTGCAGAGCCGCGACGGGAAGCAGAGAGCAAGAAAGCCCCCTTTGAAGGGGGTTTGGGGAATTGAGAATAGTTGGGGTGGCTGGGGCGGGACTACATGCTGACGCAAGCGCGCGATAAGTGGGTGCGCCCCTATTCCTAAAGTAAAAGGCACGCCCACCGCACGCACACTGTATACACTCAAACCCTAAACCCTAAACTTGGAGGAAAAACCCTCGTGGATGTGCCCGGCCTGAAGGACAAGGTAGAGGCACGCCTGTGTCTTAAGAGGTTTAGGATTAGGGTTTAGGGTTTAGGAGTTTAGGCGGGTTGTCAACTTTAGGAGAGTACTGTCAAAAAGTCTAGATCTCGAAGGCAGAAGGTCTGAAGATTTACATTAGGCTTTTGGACAACTCCAGCAGTCTACTTCGAACCTGTATATCAACCCGGCTACTAGGTGCAATGATCCTGTAAGTATACCTGAACCCTTTAAAACACCTTTAAAGGCATTCTGCAAACCCTTAAACCCGCGTAACCTCTGGGATTGGCGACCGCCTCCGAGACGTTCCGGGTTTGGGGTTGCAGGGCATGTGGAGGTACCTTAAGTTTGAAGTGTACCTTGCCCTAAACCCTAACTTCAGATCATCTTCCAAACCGAAAGCCCAAGCCATAGACCCTCGCCCTCGACACCAAGTCCTGGGTCTCTTGGATCCCAATCCGTGGACCCCAGCCTCTACACCCAGAACCTTAAATGTCTTAGATCCGAGACCATAAACCCCTTTTTGCATCTTCTCAGCAAGCCCTCCTGGGGCACCAGGTGGGCGTGCTCTGTGAGTTCAAGTACATGGTGAAGGGCACCAAGGAGGCGACACATGTCATTTGCAGGGGGAAAAAAGGGCCTCGTATTCAGGATCCTACGTTCGGGTCTATCTACAGAACTAGCATTCCGCCGTACCCGTTGCCTTCTTTTCAGGGCATCTTAACCCTTAACCCCAAATCCGAAACCAGCCTAAACCCTAGACCCTAAACCGTCTCGAAATCCTAAGTCGCGAAGTTTTTTAGGGCGCTCGGCCCTGAACCCGAAGCCCCCGAAGAGAAAAACCTTAACCCCTGAATCCCAAACCAGAAACCCGAAACCCAAAAAGTGTAATGTAGGGGCCTTAATAATTAGAGCAGGGTTTTGGGGATTTTTTATACTCTAATTTGAATAAGGAGCCCTCAAAATAGCATAGGTAATTCTTCAGGCCCCTAGAGTAAACCCGAATCCCTAAACCCTAAACCCTAAACCCTAAACCCTAAACCCTAAACCCTATAGTAAACCCGAATCCCCAAAGAGAGCAGGCCCTGACGGTGGCCACGACCCGTCTGGAGACGATGCTCGGCGACACGGCCGTGGCTGTGCACCCCGAGGATGACCGGTACAAGGCCCAGGGGTCTCTTGAATTTGGAGGGTTTTGAGAGGGTTTTAGGAGGGTTTTAAGGGGTTTTGGGAGGGTTTTAGAGGGTTTTAGAGGGTTTTCGGAGGGTTTTGGGAGGGTTTTAGAGGGTCTTATAAGCTTTAGAAGGGTTCTACGGGGCAATTCATAGGGTGCTGGATGTCAGAGGGCTGCACTGTCTGGATTCTATGCTTTTCGAGCTTTTGTTCAGCTCAGGTTTTGTATGTTTCTAACAGAAGGCTCAAGCCTAAGCTGAAGATGCGTGCAGTGACCACTGCGTGGGACTCTAAGTGTTTCATACTTATGCAGGGACCAGAAAAAGGGTGGTAGTAGTAGTCGTAGTAGTAGTACTACTAGTTTTCTTCTTTCTACTGTTTTCATGATTAGTCGACCCTGTCAGAGGCATTCCACGGCAAAGAGCTCGAGCATCCGTTCTTCCCAGATCGAAAAATGGCGTCTCGGAGATGAGTAGATGATCCTCATGTGTAGTTCTGTGCCTTGTAGGATAGCTGTTTGTAAGAGCCGCACTCTTTCGGGGACCTTGGTTCGCTAGCCGCCACCTTATGAAGATCATGCCTGCATTAGGTTCAGAAATCCCCACGTCGCAAACTCCCCCCCCCGAGGCTACGTCAACGCCAGAAGTTTTCAACCCTAAATCCCTAATTCCCTCCGTCCCCAAACCCTAAACCCTGCACTTTAGCACCCTAAACCCCTAAAGCTCCCCTAAACCCCAAACTTTAAACCCCTAAAGCTCCCCTAAACCCCAAACTTTAAACCCCTAAAGCTCCCTTCAAGCCTAAACCGCAAGAGCTTCTACTCCCCCTAAACCCTGAGCCTTGAAGCTTCGCAGGGGCGAACTTCGGGGATTTCCTGGAGCTTCGAGTTTTTCGAGGGTTTAGGGTTTAGGTTATGAGGGTTTAGGGTTCTGAGGGTGGTTTTTCGAGGGTTTAGGGTTGAGGTTATGAGGGTTTAGGGTTATGAGGGTGGTTTTGAGGGTTTAGGGTTTAGGTTATGAGGGTTTAGGGTTATGAGGGTGGTTTTGAGGGTTTAGGGTTCAGGGTCATGAGGGTTTGGGGTTTCGGTTATGAAGGTTTCGGGTTTAGGGTTATGAGGGTTTGGGGCTATGAGGGTTTCGGGTTCAGGGTTATGAGGGTTCACGGTTTAGGGTTATGCGGGCTTAGGGTTTTGGGTTATGAGGGTTTAGGGGTCTAGTGGCTCATAGAGATGTTGAAGGGATGTCAGGGGGGTTTATACCAGGACTTAGGGGTCTAAAGTCTAAAGTGCTTCTTGGCTTGGGGGTGAAGGATTTAGCGTTTGAGGGGTTGCTGTTGCTTGGTTTGTTTGGAGGGTTGAAGAGGTCAGGACTTGGTTCCCTGAGCCTGAAGCGCCAAGGGCTGAACAAGGTAGAGCTCGGTTGGTGTCACTTCGGTGGTTTGACCTGTGCAGAGGCAGGAATGTTAGATTCTTAACTAACTTGCAAGAGAAGCTAATTCCAGGGGTTCTAATATTCCCTGGTCGCCCCCCTGGTCGGCCCTATGATAACTATACTCGACATATTCGGTGGTGCCTTGCCTTAGGGTTGAGTCTTCTGGGATTTGGGGCTCGGGTTTCGGTTTAGAGAGTTGTGGCAAAGTTAGAAGGAGAAGGGCGGGCCGTTGTATGTGTTGCTGGTCATCTTTGTGGAATTTAGTATACTTGACTTAAACCCTAAACCCTAAACCCTAAAGCCTTCTACAAGGGTTGTAAGGAATCCCTGTTGAGACTCTTTGGGATGGGGTGCAGAATGGCCCGAGCTTGAAGTCTCCCCTCCTACACCCTAAATCCTGGACCCTCGAAGCCTAAATCCTAGGCAGAACCCAACTTCTGAGAAGCACCCAGAGACTCCAACATTCCCTTAGCTAAGGTATGCTTCTACATGAATCATCTTCAGGATCCGCCGGTGTAGTTTAGGCCATCTAGCTTGAGGGTTTGAAGTTCTTTGGGCTAAACCTTAAACCCTGAACCCAAAACCCAAGACCCTAAACCCCAAACCTTAAACCCTAAACCCTAAACCCTAAACCCTAAACCCTGAACCCCGACTGTATGGGAGCGTTTAGGGTATAGGATTCTGTAGCCTCGGGCTGCTGCTGTCTCCAGGTGGTGATCGCAGACACCATGGTGGACCGGGAGTTCGGCACTGGGTGCGTGAAGATCACGCCGGCTCATGACAACAACGACTTCAAGGTGGGGAGGGTTTTTTTGCCTTTTGGAGTGCCTTCTTTCAGAGGCTTTTGGAAATTTTTCGGGCTTTTCACAGGGCCTCTGCAGGGTCTATACGTTTCGGTTTGAGGCTTTTCATCGGGGGCTTGGCCTGGGCCTCTTTTCTGAGCCTGGACCCGCGGGCCTCACCGTGAGGCCCGAAGGGAAATGCATGGACCTTAGGGTTTAGGGTTTAGGGTTTAGGGTTGAGGGTTTGGGGTTTTGGGATATGTTATCATACTTTATTACAATAAAGCAGTAATGGGGTTGATCCAAATCTGCCTTGGAAGTGAAATCCCCGAAGCCCGGCGAGCGAGCATCCCTCCACCTAACGCCCTATGCCCCTCAGCATGTCGGGTTTGAGGATTTCGGGCTGAAGCTTTCGGTTTCTTGTTGTTTGCAGCAGTAGTCTTCAGACCGCAACTAATCCCTCGTAGATCCCTGTGAAAGCCTCTTAGCTACGACCCTGTCCTGGCTTTGAGGCGGGCGTGCGACACAAGCTGCAGCAGATCAACGTCTTCACCGAGGACGGGAGAATCAACGAGCCACCTGGCGAAGCGACACTTTCGACCTGGGGCCCCCAACCCCTAAACCCTCTTACCCTCCAAACCGCCTTTCAGCTCTAAACCGGATAATCCCTAAACCCTACACCATGGTAGTCCTTTCCAGTATGTAACCCTTTTCGCAACCTGAAAAAACAGTAACCTGCCCTTAATTCCTATTTCGCTTCAAGTGAGGAACGGCGGCGAGTTCAAGGGCCAACACCGCTTCGAGGCTCGACGCACTGTGGAGGAGGCCCTGAAGAAGAAGGACCTTTGGGCCGCCTCGCTCATCTAGTTCTGGGAGCTAGGATTAGGGGGA